CGGGCGGGAGCGCCGCTGCGCTTCCCAAGCGGCACACTTATCCAGTGCGCCACTGGGCCGGCCCACTCACTCTGAATTTTCTAATATTCCAACCCTTCTCTTCCGAAGCACCCTAGGCAAGCATTGATTTCGGCGCTTGGTCAATACTTGGTGATATATGGCCACCGTCCCCTACAGGAGGCGTCTTGTAAGCAGGTCCTCAGCGAGAGAAGCACCCTTTGAATTCCCCGTATTACTGTTGCTGTTTCTTTCTCTCCGAGTAGGATGGCGTGTGGCACAGACAGAGCTGCAGACAGAGTGTAGCGGGAGGGTTGGGGAGGGAGGGGACAGGAAGTGGGTCGAGCTGGTGTCAGGGATGGAACTGGCACGCCCCACAAGACCCCTGCAAGGCAGGACCTGCACCTTGGCCAGAGAAGGGGTGCAGAGCGTGGCCTGGAGGTGGCATTGAAAGGGCCCTCTAGGTGAGGAATGTGGGAGTGTGTAAGCACCTCTTGGGCAGACTGAGACATGAAACACAGAAGGAGAAACATGGCGGGTCCCAGACAGTCGCTCCAGTTGGGGGTAAATTGGCTGCAATAAACGTGAACTCACTCGAGCTAGCTCAAGTCACATGGGGGCGCTAACAAAGTAAGGCTGCAAAGGGGAAACTGGCAGACATCAATGCACCTGGGAGACCCCCGGGGACAGAGTTGGAACAATCACGCCAGGGTGTCCCTCTTTCTTGGGACCCTCTGGCCATCTGCTCCACTTTCCTGCTCCCTCCTTCGTGCAGCCTCTGTTTCTGCTCCCCTGTGACCCTGTGACTCCCGGGTGGATGAGGCTGGGACTCGCCACCCGACCCCCTCCTGTGCCTGCCAGCATCTGACTGATGCATTCTCTCTGGGAACAATTCCCATCCCCAGGACTCCAAGGAGAGGGAATCTTGTTGGCCCCTTTTTGAATTAGGTGTCTGTGGCAGGTGAAATGATGGCCCCGAAGATGTCCACATGCTAATCCCCAGAGCCTGTGAATATGTGACACGGCAAAAGATGAAGTTACATGGTGTGATTGAGTTAAAGATCTTGACAGGGGGAGATTACGTGGCTGGGCTGCACTATCCAGGGGGCCACATGGAATCACCAGGATCCGTATAAGAAGGAGGGAAGAAGGTCAAAAGAGAAGGTGGCGAGGTGATGATGGCAGAAGATGGAATGAATGACACAGCCATGAGGGTTGATTTTATCTGTCAACTTGACTGCACTATGGGGTGCCCAGGTTAAACATGGTTTCTGGGTGTGTCTCCGAGTGTGTTTCTGGATAAGGTTAGTGTTTGAGATGGTGGGCTCAGTAAAGTAGATGGCCCTCCCCGTGTGTGTGGGCTCCACCCAGTCTGTTGACGGCTTGAACAAACTGAAAGGGGGAAGAAGGAGGGATTCACCCCCTTTTTCCTGCCTTGCTGCTTGAGCTGGGACTTCTCATTTCAGCTTCTGTCCTCGGGCTGCGATTTGCACCATGGGCTCCCCTGGTGCTCAGGCCTCAGACTCGGACTGAATTCCACCTCCTGCTTTTCTGGGCCTTCAGCTTGCAATGGCAGATTGTGGGATTTCCTAACCTCCTTAATTGTGCGAGGCAATTCCTCACAATAAATCCCCCTCTCTCTCTTTCTCTCTCTATATGTGTGTGCATGTGTGTGTGTGTGTGCATATGTGTGTGTGCATATGTGTGTGCATATGTGTGTGTGCATATGTGTGTGTGCATGTGTGCATGTGTGTGCATATGTATGTGTGTGCATGTGTATGCATATGTGTGTGTGCATATGTATGTGTGTGTGCATGTGTGTGTGCACGTATGTGCATATGTGTATGTGTGTGCATGTGCGCATATGTGCGCATATGTGTGCATGTGTGCGCATGTGTGTGCATATGTGTGTGCATATGTGTGTATGTGTGTGCATGCGCATAGGTGTGTGCATATGTGTGTGCGTGTGTGTGCATTGTGTGTTCATATGTGTGTGTGCATATGTGTGTGTGCGTGTGTGTGTGTGTATCCTATTGGTTCTGTTTTTCTGGACAACTCTGACTAATCCAACAGCC